AAAGAAAAGTCAAAGAAGTGTAGCTTGTATGAGTCCATTTATATAAAACTCTGGAAACTCTAGAAAAGGCAATCGAATCTAGAGTAACAGAAAGTAGATCAGCTGTCGCTGGGGGAGGGGTGAGGATACGAAGAGCTGAGAGGGTGGGAGGGAGGAATTAGAAAGGGCCCGGAGAAAGTTAGGGGGGTTCACTGTCTTGGTTTGGGTGATAGTTTCACAGGTGTATACATATGTCAAAACATTAAATTGTACACTTTGCATGTAGTCTATTGTATATCTTACATCAATGAGAATTTAGTGGAGTCTTTCTTCATGGAGTTTATTGCATGTCAATTTACCTCCATCGAGTGGAGTCTTGTCCTGGGCCCCAAGGCCCCACCCTAAAGCCTGGATGACCCGGTGATCTGAGAGTCCTCTCTTCCACATACCTGAATTGGCCGAGACGGTCAGGTGCTTCATGCTGGGTCACATCTGGCTCTGGAAAGTTCTGTGTCACTTGGTCGGTGGGGGTTGAGACATGCTGATGGGCTCATCTGCCATCAGACATAGAGCCCAGAGGGTCTGCACTGTCGGGGCGCCCACCTTGCCGGGTGTGAGATATTCGAAAGAGCTTGTGGGGGACGGATCTAGGTCTGAATTTTGGCTTTGTCACTTATTGGTTGTGGCTTTGAGAAAGTTAATTTCTCTGAACCTCACATTCACAATCTATAAAGTTCCTAACGTGCGGGAATGTTGTGTATGATAACATGTAGCACCGCAGACACCCGAGGACTGTTGGTCACTCAGCCTCCTCCTCTTCTTATTGGTGAGAGAAGCTGCCAATTAAGGATCATCCTGTTCTTCCCACCTGACTTCAGCAATGGCCTCAAATGCAACCTCTTTAGCAAAGCCTTCGTGCTTCTCCTTCTTAACCTCCTCCTCCCCCTTACCCTCTTCGCTGAGAGTAATAAGCCTTCTGCGCACAGCCATAACGGGGATCATAGTTCCTATCACATCGTATTTGCAACTGTCTTTTTTACGTCTGTGTCTGAGAGGGATGTACATTCTTTGAGGTCAGGGACCAGATGTCGTTCATCTCTGACCCCTCAGAGTTCACTCCGTAAATCCTTTGTGCATGTCAATGGATGAATGGCATGCAGACGTTCCCATCTCTGTCTGGGATGGGGCAGCCAGTGCCGACGCGAATGTGGAGACGGGCGTCCCACTCAGGGAAGCCTCTCTTATATCTGACATTTTCTTATTGGTCCTTCCACAGCGATGAGGAAAAGTCAACCAGCTGGGTGCACCCTGGCACGAAATCACCCATCCAGAGCGGCCACTCCCCCGGCCCAGGTAAGGAGCCCATCTGCCCCTGTCTTTGCGACCGAGGAGGGAGCCATAGCTTGAGAGGGCAGCAGGAACCCCTCACCTTAACCTTGCTTCTGAATTTTCCCTCTCTCCGTGGATGGACTCAGCGTTTGGACTGCCGTGTGGGGGATACTGCAAGAGGGTTGGTGCTCACTTCGAGGTCTCTCTCCAAGCTTCTACCTCTACGATTAGTATCTGGGACGGACCTTCGAGAACAAAGATTTGACTCCTCTCTCATCCCTCTGCCCAGTCAGAAGATCCCCTCTGTCTTGAGGGCTCCTGAACCGGGCGAGAACCAGCCAGACCCCGGCGCTGCACCCTAGAACCGTGTGTCGTGCTCGGAAGACAGGAAGGTCCTCTATCTGTGAAGCCCGATGCAGTTGCCACAAGCCACACGTGACCCTGAGCAACTGAAATGTTATTGGCACGACCAAGGATGTGAATTTTTAATTTTAATTAATTTAAATGTAAATGTAGGAACTCCTTCACACTGGGGAGAAATGTGAAAGAAAGGGGACAAGGCTGACATTAGTTGCTTACTATGGAGAAGACACCACTGCTAGACCCCTGGGACCTTTGGGGCCAGTGGAAAAGGAGGGACACATCTAGGTCAACCAAAGGAGGCCTGGTGCGGTGGCTCACACCTGTAATCCTAGCACTCTGGGAGGCTGAGGCAGGAGGATTGCTTGAGGTCAGGAGTTTGAGACCAGCCTGAGCAAGAGTGAGACCCCGTCTCTGCTAAAAATAGAAAGAAATTAGCCAGGCGTGGTGGTGTGCGCCTGTAGTCCCAGCGACCGGGGAGGGTGAGGCAGGAGGATGCTTGACCCAGGAATTTGAGGTCGCTGTGAGCTATGGTGACGTCACTGTACTCTACCCGGGGTGAGAGAGCCAAGACTCTGTCTCAAAAAAAAACAAAACAAACAACAACAACAAAAAAGCAAAGGAAAGGATTTCAGTCTAAGGTGAAGAAGTAGAGACACCAAGAATGAGAAGCCTGGGGCACTTCAAGTGAGCAACAACAGTTCATCCTCTGCGCATCCGCCTCGGGCCAGCACAAGGGGGTGTGAGCCGCAGTGTGGGACGCTCTCCCGCCCCACGTGCCTTCCAGCTCTTGCCCAGGCCCAGGCACTGGTTGCAGGAGCCGTGGTCACCCGTGGGACACAGGCAGCACTGCCGGGCACATTGCATTAAGGCTTTCACTTGCCTGGAGCCGATTTCCTTTCAGATTCCTGGCTGGAATCATTGTGTTTTTAAAGCTGGAAGAGGCTCCAGGGATCCTGGAGTCCAACTCCTTCATTTCATGGTAGGAAAATTGAAGAGCAGCGAGGAAGTACCTGGCTCCGGGCCACTTGGCTAATGACGGTGGTGTCGTGGTTAAATGCATGCGTTCTGGAGGCAGAGGGCCCTGAGCGCGGTCTTGCCTCTGCTTTCCATCCGTGTGGCCTTGAGCAAGTGGTTCGCTTCTTCTGGGATTTAGCTTCTTCATCTGTACGATGGGGCTAGGATTGTGAACCTCAGAGGGTAGTAGCAAGGATTACACAAGAGAGCTGGCCCTGAAAATGGGGGTGACTGCTGCTGTTATTGTCACTGTTGTATTTCTACGATACAAGCGAGGCCTCCCGACTCCAACGCCAGGGCTATTTTCTACCAGGTTAGTGGTGGTGTCGCCTTCAGGGTTTCAACGGTTATAGCTTGAGTCCTTCCACCTCATTATCACCCTAGGTAGGACTGGGAGATGAATAAAGGCCTCTGAGCCTATTCTTTCATCTTTGGCTACAGCCAACTGGTTGTCCAAGGCTGGCAAGGGGTTAAGATGCCCCCAAAGCTTGCCGGGAGGGCAGCTGCCTCCGCGGGCACTCCGCCTGGACGGGAATATAAGCGCTCTTGGTGTTGCCCAGGCAGAGAGGGCAGTGTGGAGGGAAGTTGCTAGAAAAAGGCAGAGGACATAATCCACACTGGCCTCTTTCCCGGGCACATCACAGTGGGAGGATTATTTATGATTCTGACCCAATGGGGATCCCTCTCCTTGCGGAGGCTGCCAACCCACACCCTTCCGAATGGCAGCGTCCTCCCACAGGGACCGAGGGGAACAAGTAGCATTTATGGAGCTGCACAGAGGAAAGAGTGTGGGCTTTGGAGGCAGCAGACCAGCACGCACATCCCGGCCCAGACACTTCCTGTGTGTCCTTAAGCAAGTTGATTAACCTGTCTGGGCCTCAGTTTCCTCATCTGTAAAAATGTTCGGGCTGACACCTATTGTGTAATGTCGCCGTGCAGATTAAATGCGCTAGCAGAGGCACAGCGTGTGGCTTAGAGTGAGGAAGCCCTCACTAAGTGGTAGCTGGCGTTATCTTTCTCCGGGCCTTCCTGGGAGGAAGCGGGCGCGCTAGCTGCCCTGTTTTGCTGAAGCAGCAGCATCGCCGTCGGCGGCAACTTTGGAAATACTGACCCTGGATAAATACAGAGGAATAAAACGCGTGAATAAAAACCGGACCCGCCACCCTGCAGAACCCAGGCTCTGCCCTCGGCAGCCTGTGCCCTAAGGCAGCTGATAACATGGCAGGAGACGTTCAGCCCGACAGTTAATAGCTACGTTTTGTAAAACTTCGCTCACAAGGCGGGTGTTTGGTCGGACCAGAAAGGTGGCAGTGACTGTCTATCAAGAAAATCTCCACCTGTTTTCCAACACGTCAGCTGAGGTGGGGGCGTCTTGTGCCACCGAAGGGATGATCTCTGCCAGCTCCCTGACTCCTCCCCCCGGCAGCGGGTTCTCTCGGGTCTCTCAAAAGGCCCCTCCTCTGCCAGGGGCCGAAGGAATTCTGTCTTTTGAGTTGGCGGGGTGGCTGTTTGGGGAGAGTGAGCAGGAGGAGACAGCGCCCGGCAGAGTGCTCTTTGGAGACAGGTGCTGCCCTCACCCGTGGGGACTGCCCCGGCCCCTCCCGGCCACGGTCAGCGTCCTCGGCTATTCAGCCTTTGCTCGCTCTGAGATTCTGTGACTCTCCTCTGAGCATTTCCATGGATAATTTTTTTTCAGAGATGCTATTAAACATAATTTTTAAAAAGTCTCTCCATTTGCCCAGGCAGAGAGGGCAGTGTGGAGGGAAGCTGCTAGAAAAAGGCAGAGGACATAATCCTCTGGGACTGATTTCTCAGGTCCTTGGTGTCTTGTCCAGAAGCAGCCGAGCCTGGGATTTGGAGACACGTCCTAGCCAGAGCTTGGGTGCTGGTTGTCTGTGAATCCGGGGCAAGTGACCTGCCGCGTCTGGATGACCCTGAGGACCTTCCAGGGCAACCTTCTGTGTGTTCACTGCCGTATCCGGGGGCGGCACAGGGGGTGGCACAGGGCCTGGCGCACAGTAGTGTTCAGTAAAGGTTTGTCGAATGAATGAGTGCATCCTTCCAGGCAGTGACTCGATTGGTCACTTCACTGCTCACTGACAGGGGCCACCCTGTCCACTCCCATGTCTCTCAGTTATTTGCTGGGAATTTGGGTGCTAGACATAACGGACAGAAAGTGGTTCGCACACTGCTGGCTTACCTGTGAACTTGCCTGGTTCTCCTGAGTGCTGATTGGGCTTGTGGGGCCGCGTTGGGAGACAGGCCAATTCCAGCGTATCTCATTTTATGATCTTGCCTCTTGCAGGTTTGCCCAAGGGCTGGGAGATGGATTCCACTCGGGAAGGAGCTGTGTACTTCATCAAGTGAGTAAGATGGAGCTTCCTGTCTGACGTTGCGGCCGGTCCTGCTTTCGTCCTTGTCACTCGTGCCTCCTCGGGAGGGGAGATGGTTAAAGTGTCTGGTTTTCACGGGGGGTGTTGCCGGGTCTGTGAATGGCCAGGAGGTGCAAAGGCCTCGGAGAGCGGCAGATAGACAGGAGCGTGTGTCTGTGTGTCTGTGTGCTTGTGCGTGGAAGGTTTTCCTGGGTGGGGTGGGTAGAGTGTTGGGCTGGGCTGTACAGGGAAGGAGATGGCTCAACAAAGCCGTCTAGACACCCGGGACAAAGGTTCGGAGGAAGGAGACAGAGCCGCGGGGTTCTGTGAGAGGCAGGATGTGGAGCCAGAGGGGAGGGAAGGTGTGAGTAGGGTGTGCAGTGAGGAAATCAGGCAGCTGCACTCTGGCTCTCATGGACAGGGGCGTTTGTGATTCTGGGGGTGACGGATATGTCTATGGGGATGCTGTGTTTTCCTCTAAGGGATTAGTTAGGGCCCTCCTTGGGCCAGGGGAGCCCTTACTTTCCCCTGAGGCTAAAGGCATGCCTCGGGAAATTGCCCAGATTTAACCTTGGAAGCAGAAGACACTGCTGTTTGGGCTGGGGTGGTCCATAGCTACCCAGCTGGACGCGCTGCCCTCTGCCTTGGCCTAGGTTTCTCCATCCCCCAGCCAGGCTGGGTCCTGGCTCTGTTCCCACGGGTGAGGCTCCCCCACGCTGGCGTGCTCAGGCCTGTGGGCCTCCCCGTCTGGTCTGGCCTCAGCTCCTGCAGGGACGGTGCCCAGCTGCTGCCCAGCTGCCTGGGGCGCTGACACTGCCAGAGAGCGCCCTGGCCTGGCCTGGGGACAAGGACCTGAGTCTCATCCCCTTTCCCTCCCTCTCTGCTTTGAAATCCTCATCCCTCTTTCCATCTTTCCATCCTCTACCTCAAGATCTGCCAGCACTTACGTCGGCTTGGCTGTTAACCATATTCTTAAAGCAAAGACATTTTTCTTTTTACAAATGATCTGTTTTAGAAATTATTCTGATATCACATGGCTCTTGTAGCCTGTGTTATCTTTTCCTAAAGTTGAATGTAAATCCTTCTCGTATCAGTTAAGAATTGTTTCTTCTTACAGACACCATCGTAATATCCCTTTATGTGCATGTTCTTAAGATGGTTTACTAAGCACTTTCACATGCATTGCCTCTGCTCATTAGTCGCGAAACTTTCTTGTCTGCCTCTCTGACTTCATGTTCCACAGCTGGCCAGCTGCACTGACTCCCATCTTCCCTTTCCCTCATCTTGTCAAATGTATTAGCACCTCAGGGCCTTTGCACTTGCTGTTCCCTCTGCCTGGGGGCACTTCCCGCCTAATCCCCCACCTCTGGCTCCTACTTATCATTTAGTTCAAGTGCTACCTCTTCAAGAAGGCCTTGCCTGACTACTCCATCTGAAGTTTCCCTACCCCTCCCCATTCTTTTTTTGGGGTGGGGGGACAGAGTCTCATTCTGTTGCCCAGGCTAGAGTGCCATGGCATCATCATAGCTCACAGCAACCTCAAACCCCTGGGCTTGAGCGATCCTCCTGCCTCAGCCTCCTGAGTAGTGATACTATAGGTGTGCACCACCACGCCTGGCTAATTTAGTTTTTTGGAGAGACGGGGTCTTGCTATGTTGCTCAGGCTGGTTTTGAATTCCTGGCCTTAAGCAATCCTTCCTGCCTCGGCCTCCCAAAGTGCGGGGATTACCGATGTGAGCCACTGTGCCTGGCGCTCAGTCCCTCTTACTTTCTTCATAGCACGAACCACTACCTGAGCTGTTTTGTGTATACATTTGTTTACTTATGTGCTGCAGGTGGTCCCCCACTGCCACGTAGGCCCTGAGAGCAGATTCTGGCTATTTTGTTTTCCGCTCTGTCCTAGAACCTTTCCGGTACATGGTAGGAATCTAGTATTTGCTGAAATGAAGGAATCAATGAATGAAACACATTGGGAGGAAAACAACAGAAGCATAATTAACTTCTGCTTCAGCTCCCAGCCCAGAGCTCTCTTTTAAGCTCCCCCAATTCAGTGTGTCCAGACTTTGACTCCTCGCCTTCCCTACACCTGTTCCGTCTTTGTTAGAAATGCCACCATAGTGGAACCCTCAGAGGTAGTCTCGATCCTTCCCTCCCTCAGACCTCCCCTGCAGATCCTGTCCATGCTCTTCCTAAATACCTCATCATCCCCACACCGCTGCCCGAGTGCGTGCCCACAGGGACTCTCACCTGGATCATTCTAAAAGCTTCCCAGCTGATTTTTCCGCCTCTAGGCCGTAAAGCTGCCAGAGTATTTTTTTTTCTTTCTAGAATACAAATTTGGTCTTATCACTCTCCATTAGAGACCTTCCATGTTTCCCATCACTTACAGGATAAAATCTAATTCCTTACCCAGGCACTTAGGGGGCTTTGTAATCTGGCCACTGCCTCCCTTCCCTGTCTCACCCCCCACACTCCCCAACCTGCTCTGCAACCCTCTCCTCCGGCCACACACATCAGTTTGCTTCCCTCAGCACACGCCCCCTCCCATGCCTTTGTAAGTGCTAATTTCTCCTCCAGCATATCCACCTGTGAACACTTGTTCTTCCTTCGAGACTCTCCCATGACACCACTTCCTCAGGGAAGCCCACGTGGATTGTAATTATTTGTTTATCCCTGTGTCATTTTCCCCTAGATCCCAGTAATTTGCCAACTTGAGCATGCATCAGAATCACTGGAGAGTTTGTTAAAGCACAGATTGCTGGACCCTCCCCCTAGGGTGTCTGATTCAGAGGGTTCTAGAATTTGCATTTCTAACAGATTCCCAGGTTATGCCGTTGCTGTTGGTCTGGGGACCACACTTTGAGAACCACCAGTCTGGATTGAAAACTCCGGGGCAGAGTCTGGAAACACAAACGATATCATTTTATTATGTGTCGTAATGAAACGTCTACAAGTCGTGCACTGTGCATCCACCCATGCCCCAGACTTGGCGCCATCCTGTAGGTCAGTGGCAGCAATGGCTGCTCTAAGAGCTAAGTGCTTCCCTAGATTATCTCATTTACTCCTCACAGCACCTCTGTGAACAGGTACTGTCATCCCTAACTGTTTTAGCAAATAACGAAAACCTGAGACCAGGCAAATAACTTGCTCAGCGTCATGAAACTTATAGAAAGCAAGGCGGGGAGGCAGCCTGTGTCTGTGATCCCACAGGGTGTGCCCTCAGCATAGTGGCACAGCTTCCCCCTGGCATCCTCGCTGGGGACAAGGGAGGTGCTCGATGAATTCCCCTGAATGAGTAAGTGAATGAATGAATGAATGACTCTGGCCCACTCTCCTTACTTTCGCAATTCCCCACACGATCAATTCCCACAAAGGTTTATGACATGGGGTTGGTGGGTGAGTTAGAAACTCCAGGGATTCCAGACTTGGATCCCAAGAGCTCGTACTAAAAGTCAGATATACAGACAACTTGGGGGGCTATTTTTTTTTTTCTTCTTGTGTGGATGAGTCAAATTTCAATGAGCAAATATTGACATTTGCTCGGGATCAGACAAGTGTGATAATTGTGTGTCAATACGCCAGTTCCATTGTGGTGTCTGGGAGGTGATTATCATGGTATCCACAACTGATGTATTGCCCAAGTGTGCCTGCGGTTTTGACGGTGTCATTTACCAGAAAGGGTGGTGTGGGGAGGAGAGAAAAAAAGCAAAGGGTTAAAGCGTGGGTGAAACCGATTGCAAGCCTGTGTGCGCTTCCCGCATCGCCCCAGCAGAGGGCAGCAGAGCACACGCGATGGCCCCGCAGGGCGTCGGGGCTTTGCTCACTGTGTCCCCTACAGCTGTGGCGCCCTCCATCTCCACACCCCTGCCCCATCTCAGCCGCTGCAGTCTGGGAGACTTCTTTCTGATGTTTAAAGATCTAGCGCCGTTTAACACCCCTTCCCTGGCCCTCGGCTCCTTCCCCGGCTTCCTGTTGAGGCAGCCAGCTGTGGAACTTGCCAGTTCTGTCTCCCAGAGTGCCTCTCTCTCTCCAAAGTTGGCACGGAGGGGGACATGGCAGGAAGCTTTCTGCAGAGCCGCACCCCTGATAACCCGGTTCCCAAGCTGGGCCCCGCTGCTCCCTCACCCGGGGAGCCCCTCCCAGCTGCCACTTCTTCCTGGTTCTGGTCCGAACGCTTCCTCCAGGAAGGTGCCAGAATGTGCAGGCCGCAGTCCACCCACGCCCCTGGTGTGCCCTAGGCTAGAGGCTCCTGGGAGGCAGAGACGCAGACACCCAGGGCTCCTCCCCCAGGTGCTCCAGGGCTGGGCAGGGAGACCCAGGTAACTTCTCCAAGGCACAGGGATCTCAGAGAGCCACCAGTACAGACCCAGCCTGTGAGACCCCAGAGGAGGAGGCAGCTGGGAAGTGTGGTGGAGCCGCCAGGAGCTGTTCTGTTGTCTCCTGAAGGCAGGCAGGACAGAGGACAGATGTCACAGGGCAGCAATTCTGGTAGAGTGACCTGATGGGCTCTGCTGTCAGAAAGCAAATGACATTCCAGAACAGTAAGGAAGGAGACGGCTAAGAAAAGGTGGCGAATGCTCTGGGCTTCAGAGAAACCCATTGGCAGGTGAGGAAAACTGAGGCTCAGTAGTCAAGGAGCTCACTGGGCGTCACTGAGTTAGGGAGGGAGGGAGCTGGGGTTCCAGGTCAGGCAGGTCGTCAAAGATGGTTCATCCTACGGTGTTCCCTTTTCTGCCCCCCGTTGGTGCATTCCGGATTCTGGGAGGGAGGGAGGCCCCTGTGCACACGCTGGGTGGGGGGATGGGCAGTGGGGGCAATGAGCCAATCAATTTGGTGGCTGCTGAGATTGTGTGGCAGGGAGCGGTGGTGACACTTGAAGGGAAGCCCCGAGTGGTCAGAGGCTGAATATGTGCCTGAGAAGTTTGGACTTTATCCTCCGAGTGATGGGGCCACAGATGCTGAGGCAGAGAGAGACAGGGTCACAGAGGTGC